GGCGGCTGCATGGCTTGAGAAATGACTTGTGAAGGGTGGTCAAGAATGCGGCTACGGCCAAGAGTGGCTCGCCGATGCAAATTTGATTTTTGGGTTGATTGATGGTCTTCAAGACAGCGAGATCAAATCAAAGCATCATGCTACTGAGGGTGTTCTGCAAGGTTGACGTGAGCTGTACCGACATTGCAGATTGCTTCGGTTTGACACCAAGGAAGACCGCGCACAGGTACAGTTTGTGTTTAGAGGAAGAATTCGAGCTCGAGTTCCAAGGCACCTGTTTGCAGATGAACCACAACAAAGGCGGGTAAGGGTGGTCGATAGCAACGCGCGACTTTGTCGCTAATCAAAGAAAATCCGATGGGCGCTGGCCATCAACGTACTAGCAGCCAGCTTCAGGTTGTAGTTGGCAAGAACTTCGGGATGCACGACACCGAGCACACCCACGCGCGCGCCACGGAAAATGATGTCGGCTGCTCCCAGCTGACCGAAAAAGGCGGGGTCTGCAAGATGCATTTGCCAGGTCAAATCACGAGGCAGAAGCAAGCAGGGAGCGAGGCAGAGAGACAGCTACAGCACAGGGCAAGCCGAACGCTCCACGACAAAGCTCAAGGGCTTTGCCGTGCAGCACAAGCCGATTCCGACCTTGAGAGGGACGAAGGGTGTAGGCGCGGCCGTCAGGCTTGAGAGCCAATTGATCATCGCGTGGCACTTCGAGCATCTGCATGACCAGGTCGAGAAGGCCCTGGACGGCCTCAAAGCCAGCTGACTTGCCAGCCTGTACGGCGGCAAGGCGGCGATGGTTGCTCGCGCCCGTTTCCGCTGCAGGGTTGAGGAGCACAACATCGCTGACTTCAAAAACCTATGACAAGCATTCAAGGTATCGTCAAGCCTTTGGTGGTAGTTGGGGATTGTAGCCCCGGCCACGGACAGAACTGGACACGGCGGAACGAAAAGTCTTTCAAGGGTGGTCATGATGTCTCCCACCTTGATCGGCAGGGGCATGCGCAGGTTGGAATGCACAGTACGCAGGAGGCCAGAGAGCAGGTTGGAGCGGCAAACTTGAAAGTCTTGCGTCTTGGGGTTGGAGATGACTGCAGCGGTCTTGCCATCATCGGGGCGGCGAAGAGAGGCAAAATTGTCGTCGTGCTTGCACAGAGCGAAGGTCAATGCCTCGGTGTAGTTGGCCTCCACCAGCAGACGACGCAGTTGGTCTGCCAGCTTGTTGATGGGTTGCTGCTTGCCGCTCGTGGAGACGGCTGGCTCAGTCCATTCAATGTTGTTGAAGCCAAAGGCAATGGCAGCGTCTTCCCAGATATCGCATGGGTGCAGGACGTCTAAATGGCGACTTCCCAGTGAGACGAGGGGTTCAAAGTGTGCAAGAAGAAAAACAAAGACACGCGTGGAGTTGTCAACACACCCGCACGCGTGGGAGGAACTTGAACACTGATAGTTTTCTGGTCCGCATCAAGAGACGAGGTCAACTGCATGCGAGTCAGAAGTTCGGCCAGCTTGGCCGGGTCGGCCTGCTCACGCTTGATGCCCATGCGACGGTAGATATCCTCTGCTTGCACAGAGGTCGTGCGGGTGGAGAGCGCCTGCAAAATGACACGGGGAGGGAGTGCGAGTTGTCACAGAGACGTGTCAGCTTGACTCGCCAAGCAGGACCAGTTGCTGGCCCGAAAGAAACCGTGGGCCAGGGCACCCTTAAACCATCATGGATGAAAAATTTGAGTCCTCGGAAGCAACAAACCGGATAGGCGACGGTCTTTCCATCTGGGTTGACGACGTTGACTGGTTCAATGGTGAAAGGCTCAGCACAATGCTCCGAGAACATGGTGACAATGATGTCAAGCACAATCTTGGCCTTGGTCTGAGAAGCAGTGACAAAGGGGGTTTGGCGATCATAAATGGCAAGCGCAGCACCAGACCAGGCTTGAAGAGAGAGGGGAAGGCCATACCAGGTCAGTGGCCGTGCACTCGATGAAAATGTTCTTGGTGGCCGTGGAGATGCGCGAGTGGTCACCTAATTTCAATTAAACATGGTGAATCAAACTCGGCGATCTATCAGCAAGACGGAATCTGGGTGGCTGCGCTGATGGAAACAAGGTACGAACCGTTGATGATGGGTGGCATGCTCAAGACAACGCCATTGGCATCCCGGATAACAGGGATCAAGGGCTCCTTTTCAAGGATGTGCAAGTACTAGCGGGCGGGGAGACAAGATGGTGAGAAAATTCAAGGCAACACGCGCCATGGGCTCCTTGGGATGATCAGGGGCCATGATCAAGCAAACAAGGCTGATCTTACCTGCTTGAGCTGCAAATCTTGTTGGTACATGGTCAGCAATTCCTTTGCGTTGTACTCTTTCAGCTGTAAACCATGTAGCAGGCGAATGGGGCGACGGCGAGGAAAGGATCGTCAGGTAGCAGCGTTATCATTGTGGTTGTCATTGTGTCACTGCCATTGCCATCACTATAAATATCCCCACGCACCTCAAAGGCGTCAGGGACGCGAAGGGGCTTGAAGACGACATCCTCCGGCTTTTGGGCATCGTAGGTGAAGGGGCCTGTGGAGAAATGTCACCGAGGCGAAGCACCGAAACAGCCATCAGCAAAGGAAGGACAGGCAACCGCAGGCAACAACATGTCAGAACTTACCCTTGATCGTGTCGAGATCGTGGGTACCGATGGCAACAAGGGTGCGACGGCGGCAGATGTTCTGGTGCAGCTTCTCCTGGAGATCAATGAAGCTGTCGTACGCCTTTTGCGTCATGTTGACGTTGCGCAGAACCGCGGCCACGCCAAAGGGGCGCACGGCTGCCGTCTGAGATTAATGGGAAAAGCGGGCAGGACGGTCATCAGGCATGAAGGTACCCGCCAAGCATGCCGAGCCACGTGGGGGATTCGGAATGAAGAGGCAGGACTTACGTTGGCGGTGATGGTCATGGTTTCCTTGGGCTCTCCCTTGAGCTGGTATTGGGGTGCACCCATCTTATTCAGGAAGATTTTCAAGCCACGGACCAATCCCTCAATGCAAAGCAAATCATAGCTGTGGTGGTTGGTATCAAAGGGCACCAGGATGCAACTGATCAGCGTGCACAAACACGCCGGGCAACAAGGCGTAGGATCACAAGCCACTGAGCTGACCGGTTTGCTGGAATGTCAATCTTGTAGATGATGGCCTCCGAGGCATCTGCACAGGAGCAGTGCTCGGGTGAGTGATGACTAGCTTTGTGCAGGCCCAGAGCCGGAAAAAAGGAAGGGGGGCAAGAGCAACGACACAAACCCTTGGCCTTGGCGGAGCCGCTCTTTTCAAGCTCTTCCTTCTCCGACGTCTGGGATACGAGGCAAGATTGAGGGACGCAGAAAAGACATTTGGATGAGGCCAGTTCAGGCACCCCGGCATGGAAGGAGGTTTACGAGCCGAGAGGACACACCACTTCGTCGAGCTCAAGACCAAAGTCGAAGCAGAGATCTTCAAACTCCTTTTGCGCTACAAACGAGAAGGAAAGAGGAGGGCAAGCCAAGGGGTTGTAGCAATTTGTTTTTTGAAAGTAATGAGCTTTTGATGCATGTGATGGGAACAAGGGCCGGTCCAGCACGGCTCTCGGTGGAAAGGCTGCCCAGCCTGGAGGCAGAGAACGGCATCACGACGTACTGTAGCTACGGCCAAGGGCCGTGTGCAGGTCATCGCGGTTGATCGAGATGGTCGGCATCGTGGCGTTAGCGGAACTTTGTAAATTGTTACACTTTAACCAAAGTATGAAAAGTGCGACAGTTAAAGCTTGACAAGCTTGAAGACGAACTTTCAATTGCGGAGAGCACATGACGTGTGCTCGACCAAAGATTGCACGAAGGTTGAGAACTAAAACGTCGGGCCCACTGGAGCAATTGTTGCAGACGAGCAAGGGACAAACGAACAGTGACACAACGACAGAAGCACAACTGCTGACGATGAGGAGCCGGGGCTGGCTCCGAAACACACAAAGCAAAGGGGAATACACACAATATGTTGTGGAGGCTCATCAAGACGCGAGCGCGACACAAACTCAAGCTCCAGTTTAAGCAGACAAGACGAGTGGGCCGCTCGGAGCCAAGAGGTGAGCATCTACGATTGCTTGCACTCGGGGGCCTGGCCACCAGCCGGAGGTACGTAGTCGGGATCGTCCTCATCATCGTCATCCTCATCCTCGTAGTCATCTTCCTCCTCCTCTTCTTCCTCCTCATCATCGGAGGAGAACTCGGCCTCACCCGTGTACCAGAGCACGGCCTTGGGGATGATGTCGTTCAGGAACACCTCACCAATCTGTGACAAAAACACACGCCGAAGACCAAGAGCAGCCGGTCGGTCAGGATGGCGCGCGACAATTTTTTGTGAGGCGAGTTCAGAAGCACAGCATTTCATACCAAGTAGTCGGTGTTGAGAAGCTCTGCAGCAGTTTGAATCTCCTCTTCAGAGGCCTCCTCCGGGTTCAGTTGGGGCGGGGTGAAAAAGTGGAAGAAAGATTCCTGAGGCACCGACTTGGTGACCGTGCGGGTATCACCCTTGTTCTTGCCGGCTATGGCGAGTCGAGACGAAAAAAATTAAAAAACAAAAACAAAAACCGATGGTGTCATCAGTGTGACAGGATGCGAGGAAACCAATCCAGCCGGAAGATCGGTTGCATCGGACTGACTTTTCTTGCGCTGCTTCTTGGTGACAGACTTGACGGTGACGTCCATGCCCTCCTTCCAGTTGATGGGGTCACTATAGTTTGAGAAATAAGGTTAAATAGGCGGCAGACCAGCCGCGCCATCCAAGGCACAGAAGCATGCATGTGAGCGTGAGCAGATTAAGGGAGGAGGAAAAGAGAGGGAGAGACTGGAGAAGGGTGTATCAATGCATGTGCGCCACACGCGTGGCCAGAGTTACTCGGGACGTACGCGACAGCCGACTGGAAGATGGGGCCATTGTATTCAAGCTCGTCATCTTCCTCGGGGCCAGGGGCCAGGTTGTATGTCTTGGAAATGGTGGTATTGGTGAAGTAGGGGTTCTCACGGAAGGTGAATGTAAGAGTGAAACCCGTGAGTCCTGGCTCCTTGTACTCGCCGCTAATATCGGTGAGATACTCCAGCACGGCCTCGTCGTGCTCCATGATGAGCTGAGTGATCCAGACCACGTGGGCGGTGAGGCAGGCATGCAAGATCAGCGGACCAAGGTCGAAGGAGAGGGCCAGCAGCTCACCTGGGAGATTTGAGGGTTGTTGCAGAGGCAGGCAAACCAAAACTTGTCGAGGTGGTGAGCGTTGGGATCCTCCTCGTCGTCCTCGTCGTCCTCATTGTCCTCTTCGGGTTCGGGCTCTTCGCCCTCGGCGCCCGCGGGTGGCCACTGAGCCTCCTCATCGGTGGGCTCAACATCGCCATTGACGATAGCACGGCGCTGTTGTTCAAACAAAAAGTCA